TTTTTTGTAGTATTTTAAAATTTCTTTTTTTATTTTACAAGATAATAACTTCATTAATTTAATTAAAAAATAAAAATAAAATATCTCCATATTCTTTAAGTTATTTTTCAATTTTAATCATGCACCATAACCCTAATTATAAATTTCTAATTCACTTGTAACTCTATCCCTTGAAAATTGGTTTGCACCTTTACTCTTAAAATCCTGAATTTCTAATTTGTTCCTAAAATAATATTATGATTTTCCTAACTAAATTTTAAAAAAGTATTATTCTAAAAGTCTTAAAACAATATAATAAATCTAGTCTTAATATTCTACTATTATTGGATATTTGGTTTAGAAGTTTTAAATTTTGATTATGAATGCTTCTAATCAATTTTAGTGATATTTATATTAAAATTTATTTATTTTTAACAGTATTTAGAAGATGTAATTATATTATTAGTGCATTAAGAAAAAAAAAACTAATTTTAACCTTTAAGGATTATTTACACTATGCTACAAACTTGAAGTCATCTTTTATTGTTCTTGGTGCCTCTAGTGATGTAACAAAGAAGAATTTTTAAAGTTTTTCAATTTTTACAAATGTAAAGGAGTATAAAAATTTATTTATAATTTATACATTTTATTATATTTTTATTAATTTGGATATTAATGTATTTTATAATTATGTTTTCTATTTAATGTTAAAATATTTTTACATTATCTCATATATTTAATAATGATAAAAACCGATCAATCTAATTGAACCACATCGATCTGATTTCAGTTGGCTTGGTTTGGTTATCATATTATAATGGATTGGATTGGATTAGTTTAAAATTTTTATTAACCAATTAAATTGGATTAATTTAAAAAATATTAAAACTCAAACCAACCACACACAGAAGACCCCTACTTCACCTTAATGTGTTTGGTTCTGCCATGCTGAACTGGGTTCTCATCAACATACAGGGAAACTATATATAAGATGTGAATCTTTGTTTAAACCTAGCAAATACAGGGTTGGTTCTTTGATGCTCCTCCTGAACCCTTGCTGTGTCAAGTAGGCATCTATCCTAATATATCAGAGAGATCAGTGAAAGATGATGCATAATATTCTTGAAAAAATTTAAGCCTTGCTTAAGATAATTCAAGTATACACCCAGAAAATCTTGACTGCTTTGCTTTTTGAGAAGTGAGGTGTCAGTTGAAATCTAAATTCAATTGAAGAAATAAAGTCAATCAAACATAATAATAACAATTAGAAAACATCAAATATCCTCAAGCTGCTCTCTCAAAAGCTATGGTTCTTCCTCAACATTTTTAGCTTTGCATTCCATTCTTTCAAGTTACAAATCAGTAAGAGATAATCACAATTAACCTAAGAGATCTTTGCCATGTTCTTTATCAGTTAACAATTCTAACTACTCAAATTTGCACCTTGCTATCTCAGGAACAATTAGAAGACCATAAGTATGCCTCAGAGTTTATACAATCAAAGGAAAAATATGATTACAGCTGAATAACATTAGGAAATGTCATGAAAAAGGGAAAAAAAATCAAGTTACAATTTCTTGGTACATTAAAACCTAAAATAAATAAATAAATAAAATAGAGGGAAGAAGGCGTAAATGTCTGGAAAATTCACCAAAATAATAACAATGATGATGATGATTATGAAACTCATCAAACCATCAAAAAAACAATGCTAGTAATCCACAATCTCACCAAAACCAACCAAAAAGAAGTGAGTCCTTTCACCCCATCTCAAAGGTGATTTCCTTACCATAGTTTTAAAAGGAAACAAAAAACCTACATCTAACATGCAAGAAGTGCTTGTGGTTTGATTTACACAAATTGTCAAACACTTAGGGTAAAAGAAACCACAAATTCATATCAATTCAGTGACTCGCACTTGTCTCATTGAAATTTCAACGAACACATTTAAGAAATGGACGTCTTCCTGAGCAAAAATCAAGCTTCAAATACTATGAAATAATATTATTAGTATTACAAAAGTTACCTGAAAACCAAAAGATGGGTAAACTACCAGCCTCAGATTACTCAATTCAGGCCACTTCGAACTGCTTCTTTGCATTCGGCTGATAAAGTTAGTACTAAGCAGAGAAGGAGATGCAAAAAGATAAATAAATATGAAAATGTGATAACTTAAGTCTAATAAAATGCTGCTTTAAAACAGCTTTGAGCTCCTTTTTCTCACTCCCCCCTTTTTCATACCTGAACGGATAAAGCCAGTAGGAAAACATACATATAATCTCCAGACCATCAGGAAAAAGTCGACTAACAGAGAGAACTATCAACAAGCAAGATAAAAAAATTTGAGAATTAATCCATCTCATGGCACACGATATGAGGATAATAAAAACAACATAACCTGCAAGGAAGAATGGAACAAAGGCATAGGACATGAGTGAAGGTCAGGAGGAATCCAAGAGAAAATGAAATTCACCTTTAAGCACAAGACAGAGTAAAAAGCTCAATGCTTGACCATGAAGCCTGATTCAATAAAAATAATAAGAAAGAGAGGTGATAAAGAAAGGGGAACCTGGATGCAATATCATACTCCACATATCAGAATTGAAACTGCATCCAAAGCTTTGCCTTTATGTGTATAGAAATTCATTCTCCCAGAAGCATGAGAAAGGAAGGCCAGAAGTCAGAATTCAGACCTCCCCTTGTGCCCAAGTCAAAATTTCACTTTGCTGAAGCTCCGATCTGAGGGAATCACTTCAATGTGCAGAACAAAAATGAAAAAGGAAACAAAGCAGAGAGATAGACACATCACATGAAGATTAGGAGAGAGACAGGAAGAACCTTGGTTGTCAAATTATACTTTTTTATTATTTTTATTATATTCACTTCTACAAATTTGTATCCTTTTCTCTCATTAACATCAAATTCTTACAGAATATAAACATACATCAATCCTATTAATAGGTTTCAAAGTGTTTGGAGAAACAAGGTAATCAAAAAGTGGCACGAAACAGAGACCAGAAAGCATCAGTCAGCACTCTACTCCGCATTGTTTGAGGATCGGACCTGTTTGCTTTGGCAGGAAAGGATCAATCCGAACCCAAATTAGAGAGAAAATCGACGCAAGAAGAACAGACCAGAGGACAACAATGGTAGGGGTTCTGTTTTGCCTTCCCATCAGACCTTTGAGGAAGGGATACAGATGAAGAATGACCCAGAAGGCAAAGAAGAGCTTCCCGAATAAGGGACCCCATGAGCCATAACCATTGTTGATGGCATCAGAAACTCCAGCCACAACTCCCACCATGTTCAATATGATTAGAGTGGTTGGCGGGATGAGGAGGGTGGTCCATTTGAAGAGGTAAAGCTCTCCAAACTCAGTGTCATCTGCTGCTTTTGCTGTCACAGTGAAATTGGTGTCAACCCCAGCAAGGACTTTGAGAAGGCCTTGGAAAACAGCAAACAGATGGGCAGATACACCTCCAATCACCCAGAATTGCTCATTCCGCCACCAATCTTGAATGCTAACTCCGCTCCACCGCAGTTCAAGCACCCCTGTTGCTATGATGGACATGAAAAGTGCCAAGAACCATACAGCTGCAAGATTATTCAGCTGCAAGGGAAAACCCCAGATGCCAAGTGAGAAAAATAAACAAAACTAAATATGAATTTTGAGAATCAACTTTTAAACTATATCCAATATTACTTACAGTTGGAATGATGAATTTTCCAGTGAGAAGGCAAACAGCTGGAAGGATGCAGTAGGCAAGTAAAGGAATGGAAGTGAAAGGGTAAACAATGGTATTGGTGTATGCAAGCCTCTCTAGCCATTTCAATTTTCCTCCATAACCATACCAAAGAGGGCAGTGACGACTAAGGAAGATCTCCACAGAACCAAGAGCCCACCGTAGAACTTGGTGCAACCGATCTGACAGATTGATTGGGGCTGATCCCTTGAATGCTGCTCTCTTTGGTGTGCAGTAAACTGACTTCCATCCTCTGCAGTGCATCTTGAAACCAGTCAAGATATCTTCTGTGACTGAACCATAAATCCATCCAATCTGCCAACAGAACAGGAGACCATAGAATTGAAGAAAAAGAAAAGAAACATGCATACAAAAAGAAGCTTTGCTTATATTGATGCTAACCTCTTTGCCCCATTCAGTTTTCTCCTCATAGCCACAGCTAATAACATGAATGGCCTCTTTAACAAGTGAAGTAGTATTAGTCCCTTCAGGAAGGCCACCATTTTCCATCAATGTTGAAGCAATGAAGACAGGAGATTGACCAAACCTCTTCTTGAAGTTTTTCTGGGACATTAATGATGATTTCTCTAGTTCTTCATATCCTTCAAGCCCTTCTTCAATCTCTTCAAGATCAAAGATGGGTGCAGACCCTTTTCGCATATAGTTCTTCCCCATCATTTTCTTCTTCTTGCTGTATAATAGTCCCCCAAGTAAGCCTTTTCTTTCTCCTTTCTTCTTGGACTTTTTCCTTGGTCCTCCACAGCAGCAGCAACACCATGAAGGCCAGCAATCACATGTCATCTTTGGCCTCTTCTCAGATACTGGTGGATCATATCCATATAGTGCCTGCCTATTGAAGACACACCCTGTGCCTACATACACAGGGCCTTGAATTCCATCTAGGCCCAACATGTTAATCTATAACCAAGTAGATAACATTTACATTAATCATCAACAGAAACAGAAAAACATCATTTTTATATGCAAGAAACAAGTCTTTATAGTGTTACTTACATCAAAGAACACAATGTTTCTGTTAGCATATCTATCATGGTGATCAATACCATCAAACCTCTGTGGAAACTGAACATAGCAGAGCTTCTTTCCAAATTGAGGATCCATTAAGAAGCACATGGCTTCCCTTGCAGCCTTACTATTGTTGATATAGTGATCACAATCCAGATTCAACATGAAGGGTGCATTAGTAAGCACTGCAGAGACTCGAACCTGGAAATGACAAAGAAAAATCGTTAGCGTTTCCTCATGATCTCACCCAACCTAAGAAACAAGAACTTGAATTGAAGTACTCACAAGGGCATTCATGGCACCAGCTTTCTTGTGGTGTTGATAGCCAGGCCTTTTCTCACGAGAAACATAAACAAGTCGAGGCAGCTCCTTTCCTTCTACATCAAGTGCACCTTCACTTCCTAGATACACCTGTAAACTAGGTAACTTCTGAGTAAATGTGTAATCTGGTTTGAATATGTGGAAATTAGAAATTAATGAATTTTTATAATCTTATCAAACCTGAATCATTCCAGGATGATCACGAGTGTTGTTTCCAGGCCATGGAGTACCATCCTGCATCACCCATCCTTCTTCTGGTTTCTTCTGAGCCTTTGCTACCAATGCATTAACCCTCACTTTGAATTCTTCATATTCTCTCTGCATCACAAAACAAACAATGCTTTAAACCCTTTTAAACTTTGACGCAATATTAGTCGCACAAAGAAGTGAACAGAGATGTTGATTAATGGCGGCTTACTTTCATGGCTCTCCGTTCCTTTACAAAGTTGGGATGCACCTTGTCTTTCAAGTAATCGATCTTCTCAGAGAAATAAAACTCAGGAGCCCTGGGTTCAATGTTGTGCCTCTTGCAAAATGGTACCCATCTTCTTGCAAACTCAGCAGTTTCTGACAGTGTATCGAACAAAAGCATCGATGCGCCATCATCCGATACATAACAACTTACCTTATCAACAGGATAATCAACAGACAAGATTGATAACACTGTATTGGCTGTTATGATGGGTGGTTCCTTGAGGGGATCAACGGTACTCACAAAGAAGTCAACAGGTGCCAGACGGTCAGGCTCCCCTTCACGCTCAAACCTCATGGAAAGGCGATCAAGGTAAGTTTCACGGGTAATAGGAAACCATTTGGGGAACTGGTCAAGTATCCAGGAGAGAGCAAACCAAATTTCACATATGACAGAGATGAGCCAGAGAGGGAAGGCATCATAGGCTGGTGTTAGTATCCGGAAACGGAGGAAGAAGGCAAGGATGAAGAGGCGGAGGATAATCACTATCCGGTAAGGGCTGATTAGGCTGGAGGGTATTGGCACCTTCCGCCATAGAGGCTGCCGAGCTTCGGCCATTCTGCAAGAGTAAAGTACCGTTAATTTGGCGCATTGAAAGTCGAGAAATAAAAGAAAATGCATAAAAAATTGGATGATTACAGGAAATCATCTTCATCTCCTTGGTCATGATTTCCTCCATCATCTTTGCTCACTAAACCTCTCTTCTCTTGCTTTACTTTCCATTTCTCCACTCTCTCCTTCCACTCTGCACTTCCATATATCTCCTTTTCAGCTTCAAAATCCTTCCCAGCAGCTGCATCCCATAAAGGACCAATCCATAAACATATCAATGAATGAAACTATTCAAAAAAGGAAAAACAATAATTGAAGAAAAAATTTTCTTACTGCTTCCTGCAATTGAGAAGGCTTGACCATTGGGATGTTGTTGATTATATTCTCCATTCTCCTGCAAAATTCACCAATTCATTTTTCGTTTCACTTTAATCCAGAAGGGTGATATCTATAATTCTGAATTACCGATTGATTAGCATTATGTTGATGAATAGATTCATCATGGTTCTTCTTAATTTGAAATTCATCATCAAAATCATCTTGATCAAAGTTCTCTTCCTCATCCCCTGCAACTTTTGGAGAACCTGCAGTGAACCCAAGAACAGAAAACCTACGTTGAGTTCTTCTGCAGCTCAAATTCTGTTTCTCTTAATGATGAAAAAAATCAAACCTTTGCGTCGCTTGTAGCGAGTATTGCATTGAGGGCAGCACTGGTTACCGTCACTCCGCTCGTACTCATAACAAGGCCGGCAAACCGGAAACCCACATACGTGGCACGCCACGAACAACTCGCCGTCCTCCTTGTACCCAATCTCGTCACCGCAAACCCGGCATACCTTCTCCACAGACTGCCGGGTAGGAGGGCGGTTCTGCCACAAAACACCACATACTTTAAAAAAAAAAAAACTAAAATAGAAAAGACCCAAAAGAGAGGAAGAAAGACAAAACACATACCTCGTCGACACCGAGTGAACCAAAACCCGCCATTGCTGAAAAGAGGAAGGAGAGGGTGAAGGAGACAGAGTATGGAAATGGGTATTTGTAAGAAAGAGACATCAGGGTCTGTACCAAACCGTAAGGTGGGAAGTCGTAGGTTTGAGTCGAAAAGACGTCAAGGGGGGAGCGGTAGGAGGGAGAAGGAAAATGGTTAGAAATTGGCAATGGCTGTAGCTTTAGCTTCGACTCAAAGGCAGGGAGACTAAGTCTGACACTACCCTTCTTCCTAACAGAATGTGTATTTTCCTACGCATTCTTTTTGCTGCATGGGTAATCTGTAACGTACCCCAACATCATTTTCCCGGCAACCGAACACCATCTTCACTGATTGTTTTTAATACAAGAATGCAGAAAAAAAAAAAGCCAGTCGGATATTTTTGTCATTTTATTGTAACTTTTTTTTTTTAATTAGGGTGTGTTCGTGTCAGTTTAGTTTAACAAAATTTAATCTCTTCTAATTCAATAAGATCATTTATGTTTAGAGTAAAAGTTTTATAAAGAATTATTCATAATTAATTTTTTAAAGAATCAATTCTTAATTAACAATTAATAATGTAATAAGTAAATTTTTGCGTAGATTAACCCAAACTCTTTTGGTAGCAAATACTTTTCTTACTGTTTAATGATTCATTGATCTAATGTAGCTTTCTATAGGTAGATTTTGAACGTGTTTATGCTATGATCTCAAGAGTCAAAGCTTAAAACTGACATATGAGAAATTTTCCCTTTCTTCATTCATCATGTGATGTGTGTTTAGATCTACCAGTTTGTTCTTCATCTTCACGTTTGTTGTGTTCCAAGTCTTAATCTATGGGGAATTGGACCATCTTGTGTTCTAAATGGATGTTATGTGACAGGGTTGCATATAGTGTCAAATTTAGTTTGGTTCAAAGTATTGGACAATAGGTCTTAATCCTTCCGAACTCTATACAAATCACCTTGAGCAGGACTTTTATTGAGTAGCTTTGTCATTTTGGACAAAAATATTCCCTTAAAAATGGGATTTCTTCAGACCTGACGCATTTTAGGAAGCTGTAGGTCAGCGTACCTTTCACTTCAGAGGTGCAGACTGGAAACTAACAAAATCAAAATTCAACACAACTTCTGTATATTGACTAAATATTCGAGTGCTAAGCAAGCCCACAAGGACAAAGCAGAAGAGAAGAGAGGATCTTGAACATGTCAGTTAGGTCTATCCTGCTTGACTATAATCTTCCATGAAATGATTATTGCCACACGGTTCAAGGTTGGTATTGCTTATTCATCAACTCTTGGACGCTTTGTGGGTTGAGAAGTTGACTCACAAACATTTGGTCCGGCCTTCTCTGGATCTTCAGTTTCAGGGGCCTTCTGCTTTCCACTTGCCTCTTGGGAATTATCCTCCATGATAGAGCTAGCATCAATGGTGTCAATCTCTGTATCACCGTGAGCAACCTGTGAGGCTTCTAGTTCAGTCTTTGTGGGGGAATCATTGGTTGTGTCTGAAGGAGCAGGAGGGTTGTCTGGATTGGAAGATGAAGCCTTCAGCTGTTCCAAACCTGACTTTTGCTTCTCAAACATCATCTGGAGGTACCTCCCTTGTTCTTCTATTCGCAACTGTAAATTTCTTTGAATCTGTTGAGAAGAGAATAACACCATATTACACCAATAATTGTACAAAATACAACTCAAATTTCTATGCAGGTTGCCGGGAGAGACACAGCTAGAGATATGACTGATAGGGTAAACATCAACATTTGGCGGTACCATTATTAGGGTAATGGTAGATGTGGATGCACTTTATCACAAACAAGTTCAACACTCAGGTTTAGCCTATTTGTGCTTTGAAACTAGCAAGTCAATACTGATAAAAATTATAAGCTGCTAGTTTCTTCACTTCAGAAGTTTTAAATCGCAAAAAGGTACAATCTCAAGGCTCCACTGAGCTA